AAGGCCCTGGGGGAATTTCCAGTTGACAAGGCTGGTGCTCCTGTCGAAGCTCTGGTCGAACTGTGGAATGGGGAAATGACCAGGGCTATTGACGCGACCGCTTCTAAGCCTCCTCTCCCGCCGGACCCGTTCATCCCCTTGGTACACACCTGAATTAAAGGCGATGAAGCGGGTTGGGAGAGGGCTAGAGCGTAGGTGGAGGAAATCACGGGATGAATCTGACCAAACACACTTAAGAGCCCATTATTGGGCCTATGCTGTGGCGGTGAGGGCGGCGAAAAAGAAATTCTTTTCCGCTTCCATTGCCTCCTCACAATGCCGTCTGGCGGAGCTATTTTGGGTGGTACAGGGGCTGGTTCATCCTGGCCCTAAGAAAGATCCTGTACCGCCCTCAAAGGCCCGCTGTGACGACTTTGCCAAGCATTTTAGGGAGAAAATCGCTCAGATTCGTCACGAGCTGGACTCCACTAGCGACTCAGAGCCTTCAGGGGAGGGGCCAATGTTGCCGTCTGGTCCACAATTGATGGATGAATTTCAGTTGTTGTGGCCTGATGATGTGGACAAAGTGCTTGGACAAGTACTTTCCACCACCTGCTTATTGGACCCTTGCCCATCTTGGCTACTCAAGACAACCAAGGACGGGATAGGGACCTGGATCCTGGAGGTTGTCAACGCCTCTCTAAGGGATGGCCAGGTACCTGCCCCTTTAAAGGAGGTGGTAGTCTGGCCTGTCCTAAAGAAGGCTTCCCTGGATCCAGAGATGGCCACCAATTTTAGACCGGTGGCCAACATCCCGTTTCTGGGCCAGGTGTTAGAGCAGGAAGTGGTGGGACAACTCCAAGCACTCTTGGAGGAAACTGATTATCTGGACCCATTTCAGTCCAGCTTCAGACCCGGGTATAGTACTGAATCTGCCTTGGTCGCCCAGTACGATGACCTGTGCAGGGAGAGAGACAGGGGGAGTGTGTCCCTGTTGGTTCTCCTGGACCTCTCAGCAGCTTTCGATACCATCGACCATGGTATCCTTCTGGACAGGCTTGCGGGATTGGGGGTCGGAGACACTGCTTTGCAGTGGTTCTACTCCTATCTCAATGGCCGGTTCCAGAAGGTGGTGCTGGGGGACTATGGCTCTGCGCCATGGCAGCTATGCCATGGAGTACCGCAGGGGTCCATTTTGTCCCCTTTGCTGTTCAACATTTACATGAAACCGCTGGGAGAGGTCATCAGGAGGTGTGGGCTGCGGAATCATCAGTACGCTGATGATACCCAGCTCTACCTCTCGTTTTCCACCAATCCAGGTGAGGCAGTGGCTGTGCCGAACCGGTGCCTGGCCGAGGTAATGGGCTGGATGAGGGCCAATAAACTGAAGCTCAATCCAGACAAGACGGAAGTCCTGTTGGTAGGTGGATTGGGCTTTAGGATGGGGGACTTTGACCTTGTCCTGAATGGGGTTGCACTCCCTCTTAAGGACAGGGTCCACAGCTTGGGAGTGCTCCTCAACCCAGAGCTATCGTTGGAAGCTCAAGTGACAGCAGTGGCGAGGAGCGCTTTCCTTCAGCTTCGGCTGATCCATCAGCTGCATCCCTACCTGGAGAATGACTACCTGGCAACAGTGACACATGCATTGGTCACTTCCCGATTAGACTTCTGCAACACACTCTACGTGGGGCTGCCCTTGAAGACAGTCTGGATACTTCAATTGGTGCAAAATAGAGCTGCCAGGCTGCTGACGGGGACTGGGCGTTGTTCTCATATAACCCCAGTCCTCCGTCAGCTCCACTGGCTCCCCATTGAAATCTGGGCCCAATTCAAGGTGCTGGTTATCACCTACAAAGCCCTGAACGGCTTAGGCCCTGGTTACCTAAAGGAGCGCCTGCGTCCATATATGCCCGCCCGCCCCCTAAGATCAGCGGCAGACGCCCTTCTCCGGGAACCCTCTGTAAAGGATATTAGGAGGGTGAGTACCCGGAGGAGGGCTTTCTCTGCAGTGGTGCCCAACCTATGGAATGCACTCCCCAGAGAGGTGCACCTGGCGCCGTCCTTATTTGTTTTTCGACGCCAGGCCAAGACCTTTTTATTTAAATGCTATTTTAACTGTTAATGGTTTGTTTGCTGATTTTAAATTTACTGGGCTGTGTCCACTGTTTTATTTTATGTATTTCAATTATTTTAATTTTTTTTTGTATTTTTCATTTTATGCGGGATTTTATGATTGTAAGCTGCCCCGAGGCTCATGCGATGGGGCAGCATATAAGTTGTATAAACAAACAAACAAACTTTCCCTGAAAGCAAAAAATGGCAGAACTGAACCAGTCCTACTTTGGGTTCATTAGAAGGCAAGACGGGAGAAGATGATCATGCTAGGGAAAGTCGAAGGCGGAGGAAGACGAGAAAGAGCAAATATGAGATGGATTGAATCCATAAAGGAAGCCACAGCCTTCAATGTACAAGGACACAGGACTGTCCAGGAGGCAACATTTCTGAAGGGTCGCTGTCAAGTCGGAGATGACTTGTTAGCATGTAACAATCACAACAGCAACCATTCTGCACTGAGATCATCTAGGAAAGGTAGGGTTAATCTGTCAGACAGCAGTTTTGACTGCAGACCTCCACAACCAAACCCTCTTCTCCTGTTTTGGACTACAACTCAGAGCATTTCTAATCACTGGCCAGGCTGGCTGGGCCTGATGGGAACTGAAGTCCAAACCGTGCAAAAGGAAACTGTTTGGGGAAGTCTATTCTACTGCTTTCCCAGTGGAACATGGGGCTGACCTACAGAGGCAGAAGATAAAATGTGTTCGGCCCCTCGTAAGGTTCAGAACTTCTCTAACCCAACCAAACCTGCATAAAGAACTCTGAAGCTTGTGAGTCACATCTTCACACCCTGGGTAAAGGGGCATCCAAAGATTAGTTGGAACATTTTCATTTTGTACCGTCCTGGGATCTGCTTCTGAATAAGGACAGGTATGCACTTGCAAACACAGACTGCTTGATAAACAGGGCCTGTACAGACAATTTAGGGCCACAATGCACAATGTTTTCTTTCTCTCACCTACTACATTCTGCTGCACAAAGCAAAAAGCACAACCCAGCTAACAAAAAGCACCCAGGAAGGGCCCCTTTCCCGACACCCCTTAAAACATTTTTTAAAAGCCCAACACTCCGAGAAACGCTATTGAAGTTTTCCATTATGCTACATCTGAAGCATTCTGGGAAACAAAATGGTGGCTTGGAGCCAGCCTGCTTCAAGCACACCACTGACCAGGCAGTGCTCTCAAATGTGGGGTCGGGCTGGGGAAAGAGGCCATACAGATTTCTCATGAGACCAGAGTCTGAATGTGAAAGCCTTACCAGGGCTTTGAGCCACTTTTGTTCTATCACTTTTAATGCCTGAGGGTCGATCGTACAGAGGAGAAAATGGGAGAGCAGCATCCTGGGCAAGGTCTGTGCTCACAACAGGAATCAGCCTCACATGCACTGCCTCCACCGCCTGACGCTCCATATCCTGCTGTCTAATTCATGGCCGTCATCCAAGAGTTGCAAGATTGCAAGAGGTATTTGAAGAAGAACGCTCTGCAAATGAGTATCTGGGAGCACCAATGGACAGATGTCACTATCACTATCATTAGACATCTTACTCTTTCAATTCACACACAATCCAATGCAATTGCAATCCAAATGCAACCTTGCCCACACAGACCTTCCAGTCTCCCACACTGATCACCTCCTTCTGACTGACTCCAGTTTCCTGAGCCAAATGCAGAGAGAAGAGGGCTGGGCTCTCAACAAGGTCGCAGCACCCCTGCAGAACCTCCTGGCTTGGCTACGCCCCATGTCCACCGTAAACAGTTTGGGCGTTCAACACTCAACTGAAAAAAGCAACAAAATGCCACAGTGCAAGCTCACCTTCTAAGAGGAGCGCTTTACACAAAAATGGCCCCAAATGCAGCCTCTTCAAACACGGCTGAGGAAGACTCCTGCCTGAAGCCCTGGAAACAGCTGCCAGTCAGTGCAGACAGCACTAAACCAGACGGTCCAACAGTCCGATGTGGCATTAAGATGACTTTTCTGTTGCAGGTCCAAGCCCAGCCTCCTCCAGGACAATATAAGATGCCTGGAGCCTAGGCAGGTCAACCAATTTTCCTCACCCCCTTGCTCTCCTTTTCAAATGCTACTCGATATTCCAGGTGGTCACTGAGCATGGCCAGTCCTCAGAAGCCTGCTCTGGGAGAAAGCTGCTTGCTATAGGTTTGTTTAGACTGTCTGTATGTCTATAAACATTGTCAAGCATGGTGATACCATCCTCTTCTTTCTAAGCGGTCCAGTTTCAGCTCTAATCTTGTTGGCTTTCAACCACCTGGATTTGCAAGTAGAGGGAATAATCAGATTTGCACATCACAGTGAGTGATGCCTATGACCCGCATTGCATTATATCCTCTCTAGCATTATTCATATATGACCTCTAACGTGGTCTTGTTGCATTGTGAAATGCGGCCACTAAAGACTGAAAGTTGAACAACCCTCCCATGGTTTAAGTGAGAGTCAGGGTTGCGCAGAGATATGACCATCTAGACTTAACACACATGTATGCTGCTATTTAATGAACTACTACTGAGTCATCTAACATACAGTGGATGTCATTTTGCTCACCATTTTCTAAAAGCCGCACTGCTGCTGTTCATACACCATCCCAAAACTATATAGAAACCAGCTTTCCTGTCCATAAGAAATAAAAGCTCAAAATTTCTGTAAAAACATAAAACAGGCATGCACACGTAAAAGTAGAGTCTATATCAGAAAACAATTAAACAGAGAATCACAGCACTCTAGCAATTCCACAGGTGGGTACAGAAAAATATTCCACTCTTGCTGCATGATAATTTATCTGTAAGCAGCACAAAGTTTCCCATTTTATGTGTGAGGTTTTTCCCTCAAAAGCAGCATTCTAAATAGAGGCATTGTAACCATGACAGCCTTTGGGAACTTGGCATATTGCTGACCTGGTAGTATTAACACCACCTCTGTTTTCATGCATCAGACAGATTCCCTCTATGGTGACGAACGTCGGCTCAGAAGACTTCAAAATAGGATCTGACAAACACATGGAGGATAAGAGCATCAACGGCTATGTCCATGTGCCACTTCTGGAGCCAGACACAGCATAACTTTGAATACCAGTCTGTGGGGAATATTTGCAACATTTCCAAAATTTATTTATTTATTTATGTATTTAAACATTTCTATGCCGCCCCATTCGCCGAAGCCTCGGGGCAGCTCACAACATAAAATATAATACATAAAACAAATTAACAATATACAATAAGTTGCCCTGGCCAGATAAAATAAGCAAATAATATTAACAATTAAAATAGTGTTTGAATAAAAAGGTCTTCACCTGGCGCCGAAAAACAAATAACAACAGTGCCAGGCGGACCTCTCTGGGGAGCACATTCCATAGATTGCGCGCCACTGCAGAGAAGGCCCTCCTCCGAGTACCTACCCTCCTAATTTCTTTCACGGAGGGTTCCCGGAGAAGGGCCTCTCCCGCCGATCTCAGGGGGCAGGCGGGCATATATGGATGTAAGCGCTCCTTCAGGTAACCAGGACCCAAGCCGTTTAGGGCTTTATAGGTGAAAAAAGCACTATTCTTAAACCTGGTATGAATTTTGGAAATGTTACATTTTCCCATCTATTTAGCTATTATAACACAGCTAAAATCCAACCTACTATTAATACCATTCCCTAAACAAAAATAAGAAACAAACATGATGCATGGTAAGCCTCGCTTTTCCCCTCTCCATAAATGCTATATTATATGAACAGCTTCCTCCGCACACAGCTTTGAACACTGAGCAGTACAAAGGTCGTTAACGCTCACCTGCGAGATCACATGAAGTCAGTTCCGACACAGAGACAACTGACTCTTGCCGTCGTATCCAAGTTAGGCAATCTACTGGTGCAACCCCGGTGCAATTATCTTCCAACCAACCTTTACTAAACCTTTGACTCCCTTCCTCTCCAGTGCAAAGATGCTCTTCTGCAGATAAATCAGTGCAAAGAACATTCCCCCAAGGTATGCAATTTGAGAACTGCCCATTAGCCAAGGATGACGGAAACCTGTAGATGCTTTCATGGCCTGCTCCTGGGAGCCAGAAATGTGTTTTGCGATACAATCTGCCCTCCTCACAGATGGCAAATTATGCGAACAGAGTTGGCACCATACCATGCTTCATGATACTGCAGAGGACATAAGCTCCAATTCAGCTAAAACACCATACATGGAACCCAGTAAGAGATGCTCACATGACTCTGTGGAGTAGCTCTTACCTCACACATCTTTTGAAAACATCTGTTCCTTTTGAGAACCAAAAATTATGGGCACACTTTCTACCACATCTCAATTAAAAGTGATTCGGACTTCTGGGGAGCAGACAGAATTACATCCAAAACTGATCTTCAGCTTTTTGGAGCCCTTCTTCTCTTGACAAGCCTTTCCGATGTTTCAGTAGTTCTCCTCACATCAATCCCCATTTGTTTCCGTCTTTCTTGAAATACGAGACTATGTTCTATGAGAGGAGTAGGAACCTCGTGGACAATTCCTGCCACATTTGCCCTCTGGAGAAGTTGCAACTGATGCTGAGGGAGCTACAGCACTGGTCTCTTGGAGGTTTCCATGGCACTGACCATGAGCTCATAAACCATTTATGAGCCTATGAGGAAAGAGGAAATGGCTGTTTGCTTTAAGGTTATGTTGCACAAGGAAAAATACACAAGTGAATGACTAAGAAACCAACAACGAAACCCACCTACGCTTGGTCAATGCATTTTTCTTCTCCATTTCGCCAAGCATACTTTTTCCTTTTTCTACAATTAGGTCTAAAACAAGCAAGTCTGCCAGGCATGGTTGGGGTCACGGAGACATTTGCCTACTTGGTGAATTAAATCAATGCCTAGATCTCAAACCAGAGGCTGTTTTCCCGCAGAAGCCCAATGAATTGAACGAGAGCTGCAAAACCACACATTAATTTCAATAGCGCTTCTGCAGGAAAACCTCTTGCTGCATTGGCCACACTGTCTTCAGATTATCTCACCAGCTTTATAGATGGATTTGTTGACCATAACGATGCTGGAGTGATCTTGTGCTACTCAATTGTCTCTCATTACCGCTCTTTCAGGGATATATGTGAAAGCTAAAATGAGATACATTTCAGAAACGACAAAAAACCCTAAACAAATAGCAATTAAACCTTCCACCCAAATGATTTTGTAGACATTAATGTCTCTGGGCATCTTTTTCTGCATCTTTTATATAAAGAGCACTCACTACGATTTTTGTTTCAGATACAGCCTATCATTTCAACACTTTTAAAGTACTTTACAAGATCATCATGAATCTTTCCTGCTTTGCGTTACATTTCCTTCACTAGAAGAGGAGGAACTAAAGCAGAGAGAGTGGAACTTGATCAAAGGAAGTCGGCCGAGCAGGCAAATGACCCTGTTACTCTGATCGTCAGAGTATGATCATTCCACTTAGATTATCTTAGTTCAAAAGGGTTCATACATACACTAAAGTTACAACAACACGCAAGCCTAATTTTCTGGAAAAAAAGAGAAAACACATTTTAAACATATTAAATCTCGATGCTGCAGCACTCTGTTAACTACTCCGTGTGCCTGATGGCCAGAGTTCTATATATTCATAATAGCAAGCAGCAAATGGAGATGATCCTCCCATTACTCCGCCCTTATACCAGAATTGTCTTCCCCACTGAGAAATGGCAGAATCCAAGCTGCTAAGAAAGAAGATATCTAAGGTTAGCCAGTATTATTCCCATGATCACCACAGCCCACCATGTGGGATATAAATATAACAAACAAACAAGCAATGAATTTAAGCCATGGCACGGTGAGTGCCAAGGGACGTTTTATATATTCAGCCCACGGCAGGGAGTTGTCACAATTTCTTGTGTTGTTGGAACCTGGGTGGCTTGAAGGTTATCCACCCCCCGTAGTAGCCCTTCAATGGGCCATGGGTTATTTGAGGGGGTTTCTCCTTCAAGCAACCCCTAATGCCCAGGTGTGGAGGACAGCACCAATTCTGGCACACTTGGATAGCTGCCTCTATACTTCTGAGCCCAGTTCAAGGTGCTGGTTTTGACCTATAAAGCCCTACACAACTGGGGAGCACATTATTTGCTGGAGGGCCTCTCCTGACCGCCATCCACCCAGACTCTATGATCCGAGTGGGATCTAACGTGGTGTCCTGCAGCAGCAGGGAGTTGGACTCGATGGCCTTCATGGCCCCTTCCAATCTATGGTTCTAGGACTCTATGATCCAGCCAGCTTCCAACTGCCACCTCCAAGGGAGGCTTGGCTGGGGGCAATAAGGAGGAGGACTTTCTCAGTGATGCCCCCTTGTGGAATGACCTCCCCACTGAGGCCGGCTGGCACCAACCTCAGCATCCTTCCAGCACCAGCTCAAGACTTCCCTGTATCACAGAGCATTTAATTACTTGACTGGGACTTTGTTAGCTGTCTAAACAGGTTGCCTGATTAATTCATACAGGCTACTGTAACTTTTTAATATCTGCTTTAATTTGGTGTTAAAATTTGCATGACAACCTTTTAATGATGCTTTTCATGAGTGCTCGTATTTTATGTTGTATTTTTGTGTCTTGCCGTAAACTGCCCAGAGAGCTCATGCTACTATGAAGTACAGAAAATAAATAAATAACCAGCACGACACCCAGGAGGGGCTGCTGGGGCAGCTTAAATAAAACGTGGGGAGCTACGGCAATCACGCAAATCCAGTCGGCCTACAAATGTTCCCAAACACACGGCTGACAGATCATACCCATATAAGCAGTGTGTGTGCAGGTGGGGGGGGGTGTTGCCTGGGAAAAGATCAGCAGTTGAAAAGTGGGGCATCCCACGCTTCCCTATTCTCTCTTGCAAGTCTCTTTCCCAGGGTGTTTTCCTCTTAAAGTCTGGTAGCTGCTTTAAAAGCCTAAAGGGGAGGGGGATATAAGGTGGAAGCAGCTGGGGACATTTGCAGGGGAATTCTGTCTGCATATGAATAGGATAAGCAACCCACTGGGACATTGCTGGCTATTCCTTGCACTAGCACTGCTACGGAAAAGTGAAGGTGTGGGAACCCAAATTTCCCTCCAGACCCATCGTCCCTCCTTGAGGCATCCCTAGAGCTCATTCCACCCTGGAATGCTGTTTAAAAATACCCTGGGTGTAGCCAGCGCTCCTCGTTATCCAGGAAGCAGAATCGGGGGGTTTACAGCCATTCTAACCTGGTTCAACTGCAACGGAGCAACCAGAAACTGGAGAAGAGAGGCAATGTTGTTGTTGTTATAAACAACTAGAAAAGATACCAACAGGCGGGACTTCTGTTTTTAGTTTGTGCACAGAAAGGGAGAGAATGCAACATTTGAGACAGTTCAGACTGACTGGGAAGTATTTCAGACTGCCAATGCACGCCAATCCCTATAGGATTTCCAGAAAATAATGTTGTGCAGGATCTTTTTCGTTTTGTAGATAGCAGCGCTATAGCACATGCAAAAAAAGCCCTGCACAACTCCCAGTGCACCACTCGCCAACTTCATGTAACCGCTCAAACAACCTCTACCAAAGGAACCCAAAATCTGTGTTTGGCATACATTATACACAGGAGGCAAATTCTGCTACAGCTGCTTATCTGTTTTCGTTTACTGGACTGTGCCCTCTAGTCCCAGGGGATGCAAGGTGCTTTGAAGGGCACTGCATCCCCTGTATCCCCATTCTGCTTTTGAAATTTCACCAGGTGCTCCCCACCTGTTTAATCCTTAATTCAGGCTGAATGGCTGGCAACCCACTAATTAATTAATTAATTAATTAATTAATTAATTAATTAATTTCTGTACCACCCAACAGCCAAGGCTCTCCGGGCGGTTAACAAAACTTTAAAAAACACAAGCAAACAAAAATTAACACAAAACAACAACAAGAAAAAGCCACAGCGATCACAACTGAATCAGTATTAGAAGCACAGTCAGTTTAAGATAATATGCAATATTAAAACTAAAGTTTAAAAGTTATACTGTTACAATGAAAAGGTCTTAAACTGGCACCAAAAAGAATACAGAGTAGGTGCCAGGTGCACCTCCTTGGCAAGCTCATTCCACTTCCTGGGTGCCACTACGGAAAAGGCCACCCACCCCACTTCCTTTGAAGGGGGCTCCCAAAGAAGGACCCTGCAGATGACCTCAGGTCCACGTAAGTACAAATGAGATGAGGCCTTCCTTCAGATAATCTGGCCATTTGAACCCAAGACATCCAGCCCTTGAAGTTCTCATGCTAGCCCAGTGTTCTGAACCAACAAACCAAATGTAACGTTTTAGCTCCTTCCTGGATTTAAGTTAAAAATAAATTGCTGCTATGTAGGAAGTCCAAATCTGACCATGATGTGTGAGTATGGAGGGGGCATTTAATCTTTCCTCTTTGGCCTTCTATCTAAGCACAAGTTCTCCAGTTGTTCTCCCACACGCAGGTGGAAAGATTCTGGGATGACATCAACTTTCTCTTGCAGGAGAAACCCAGCCAGAGACACACTGACAGCTGTCCCAAAGGAAAGGGTAAAACACCATCCACTAGCGCTGCAAACAAATTCAAAGGTTCCTCGTGGCCAGAAAGGTGCTTCTGCACAGAAAAACCGCTGCATCTCCACCCTGGTTTCCGTTTCATTTTTAACCCTTCAAAGAAGCCGAAATACTTATGGTACAACTGTGTGTTTACATAACACGCTGGGAAATGTGGGTCAGGAATCCACACAACGGATTGCTGAATCCACGCAACCCAGGCTGAATAAGCAGGAATGCAGCTTGAAGGCTGACTCCATCATTCAGTACCTGATGGTGGCCAGCTTATTGCCATGGCCTGGTCTTACCCACAGCCGGTCAGGTGAAACAGACCTGTTTTCTCAACCTGGTGGCTTAGAGATTATTGGACCAGGTATGATGAGAGTCCCACACTTCTGGAGGGTACCAGGTTGGGGAAAGCTGGATATCCGACTGGGAAGACCTGGGTCCAGATCTTCACTCAGCCATGGAGCTTGCCAAGAAAGTCACAGTGTTGGCCCAGCCTAACTCGCAGGATTGTTTTGCAGATAAGATGGGGGCTGGTGAGAAGAAGCATGTCTGTTGCCCTGAGCTTCCTAAAGGTGTGGAACAGGTATAAAAGGGAGAGAAGAGAGGACAAATGCCCCTGCAGTCTGTGTTATTCACGGGGCCTGCAGATCTGGAGGCGCGAGGAGGAACAGTGCAGCCATAAACCCATAGCCCATCATCCCCAAGTGCAAATAGTGCAGCTCAGCCATAATATCATAACTGAGTTCCTAGTTCGATCAGCAATGAAGGTAGCAAGGCAGGCAAGAAAAAACTTTGTAACATAATGTTCCCCAAGCGTTCTTCAAACACTCCACAAATCCATCATATCGGGGTTGGCTTTTGCTAAAGAGGTAGTGTAAGGATTATCCAGATTGTGTATCCAAAACACTTTCCAAGGTGGAAACGTGCAACCAAAATCGTGCTACGTAACATCAGAAGAGCTGGTGCGGTGCTGAAGTGCTGGACTGGGACTCAGGTGATCTGGGTTCTAGTCCCTGCTCAGCCTTGAAACTCCGCCTGTGACTTTGCAGCAGGCACAGGCTCTCAGTGCGTCCCACCTTGCAGGGTTGTTGTTGTGAGGATAAAATGGAGCTCGGGTTCTTCACAAGAGGAAATATGGTGGGATATCAACGCAATGCAATAATAATAGTAATAATAAAAGAAGGGCTCGAATGCAATTTTTATTTCTATCATGCTCCATCTCGTGGCTTACAGCAGGTCAGGGCTCTGCCCCAAAGAGATTACCATCTCAGTTTTACCAAGCAGATCAAAAGGATGGGAAATCAGTAATGCAAGAGGGCAAGGGTTGTTGATAAGGGTGGAAAAGCACAAGCCTTTTGCTAAACATCTGGTGCTTAGGAAATTATGATATTATAGATCAAGGGAGCCGAACCTCAAAGTTGGCACATCCTGAGCTCGCCAAACGTCCCGTCTCCTTGCCTTGGCTAACCGCCCACTCTTCTCTTCAAAAGCTGAAATGTCTCCCTAAGGCTCAGCTACTGGCACGAAGAACTGCAAAGCTCCGAGAACTTAAGCTGTGGGCTGGGTGGTTTGCTTGCTTGCTTTTTAATACGGTATTCTGGGCCCCACCCCGCGCCACCATCACGCCCGCCGCGGGAACGCAGGGCTCGGGAACCCCTCGAGCGGCAAGAGGCTCCGCGCCTGCTAAGGGAGCGCGGCCGGATCTCACCCGCCCTCCGGGATGCGCCCCGAGGCTCCCCGTTCCGCCTGGCCACCCAGCCCAGCAGCGGCGCCCTGGGCAGGGCGCAAGCCTTCCGCACAGGTCGTGCGCCCTGCTCCGCGCGTCTGCCCGTCCGCTCGCCCGGGCTGCCCGTCGCTGCGGGGGCCCCAGGATGAAGGCGGCGGCGGGCGGCGCCCCGGGGCTTCCTTCCGCCGCGCATGCCCCCGATCGCGGGCCTCACCTCGGGGGAAACCCGCCTAGAGCTCGACCCACCCCGGGCTGCCTTTGCTGGAGCCGCCGCGAGGCCCCCGGCGCGGCGCCCGGCTTCCAGCAGCGGCCGGCCGGTGCTCCCGGGGGCCTCCCGGCGCAGCGCTGCCCTGCCGGCTTACCGTGGCAGGTGGAGCTGCGGGCGCGAGACCGGAGGGGTCCGGGAAAGCGAAAGCGCTCCGGTTGCGCAGCGTCAAAGCCAGCCGCACTCTGCGCGCTTCCTTATTCCGGGAAGAAGAAAAAACAGCGAAGCGAGGAGGAGGTGGGGGAGGAGGAGGAGTCGAGCTCACAGCGGGCGCCTTCCCCCCCCCCCTTCGCCAGGCCCGCCTTCCGTGAGTAGCGTCGGGTTTCCGCTGTAACACAAGGCGCGTCCCCAAAGCGGCGCATTCCGCGCAGACCCGCCCGCTGCCTGGTATTTTTGGCTCAAGCGGAGTCACTGCAGCCCGGGGTATCCAGTTCCCGAGGCTCCGGAACAGCCCTGGCTTTCGGGAAAGCCTGTGACCCAGCGGGGAGCTGCCGGAGCCCCCCTCCCCCGGGGGCTGCGTACGCGAGCGGCTGCTCCCAACGGAGTTGCTTCCCTTGGGGCGCCCGTGCGCGCTTGCTTCCAAGTAAGCATGCCCCGCATGGCAAGCTCCGTAGCTGGCTAAGAGGGCTAGCTGCAATGGGCAGGGTCTCCCCTCCCGCAGGAGGCCGGGATGGACCTCAGAACCGGACGCCTGGTGGCCCGTGGACGTGGGCAGATGCGGTTACAGGAATCCGGGGTGCGGAATGCCTCCCTCGGCAGGGTTGGCCAGAGTGACCCCATTCATACTTTTTGGCTGGCAGAAGTTCCGGCTGCTTTTTTCTATGAAAGCATAACTGTGTGTCTGAACACAGTTCAGAGGTGGCCTACAGTCTAAAAACTGTGTAAAAAGGGAAATTCCACGAACAACAAGGAACGGGCTTGAAAAATCAACCCTAATACCGAGTGTGGTGGAAACGCACCACGTAGTGTTTTTATTTTGGCAGTCTCACTATAATGTCATTAGGTGTTAGTGCCTGCTTCTCCAACCCATTTTTAAAATATACTACACAATGTTACTGTGGTTATAATATTCGATAAATAATCTTCTGTTACACTGCCCTACTGATTTTGCCCCACTGTTGCAATAGGTTTCTGGACTGCCGATAATGGGGTTGGAGAAAAGCTAGCAGTCCTAAAAAGAGGCATTGTGGTCAAGTAGCTAAATGAGAGCAAATTAGTCAATCCTAAAGGAAGTCAGCTCTGACCGTTCTTTAGAAGGCCAGATCCTGAAGCTGAAGCTCAAATATTTTGGTCACATAATGAGAGGGAAGGACTCATTGGAAAAGACCCTGATGATGGGAAAGATTGAAGGCAAAAGGAGAAACCAGTGGCAGAGGAGGAGATGGTTAAGTAGTGTCACTGCTTCAATGGACATGAAATTGGGTGAACGGGAAACAGTGGAGGACAGGAGGGCCTGGAGTGCTGTGGTTTGTGGGGTTGCGAAGAGTCGGGCACAACTGTGCGACTGAAAAACAACAGCAGAAAGATCACACCCTCCATCTGCAGGGTGACACCCATGATTGAAGATTATGCTCAAAGATAACACTATTTGGCTTATGTTGTTGTTAGTCGCGAAGTCCCATCCAACGCATAGTGACCCCATGGACAACATTCCTCCAGGCCTTCCTGTTCTCCACTATCTCCCGGAGTCCATTTAAAACCCCATGGACAGTACCAAAAGGCAGAAAGATCTGGCTTATAAAGTAAACTTTCCCAGTGCTTTTTTTGTAAGAAAAAATGTGCTGGAACTCATGAAATTATACGTAGTCAATCACTGTACACACACCCACACATGTCAGTTGTGTAATGAAACGTAATGGTCGCCGCCCACAGTAAGCACTCAGCGTGCGACCACATGACCGATCACAAGCCGAGCAGCACCATCACAACCAGTGTGGACGAAGTACGCACACATCGGATTCGACACACAAGCAACCCGCATGCACCGTTTTAATGATTTTGGCACCGACCTGCTACGCTCGACAGGGCGATTCAAATCCACGTGGACCGAACATCAGATTTTCAAAAGTTACTTTTAAAGCTTGGAAAATCTGTTGAAAAAGGTGCCAGAACTCCGTTCCGGTGCGTTCTATGACAAAAAAAGCACTGGACTTTCCTAAGAGTATTTGCTGCCCCAAGTTTAAACAGGATGCCCCTGGAATCCAATAACTGATAGCTGTTAGAATGTAGGACGAACTCCAGGAAGCACTGGGTTAAAACCTCCTCTTGGCTCTGAAGCTCACTGCAGAACCCTGGGCAAATCAGTGTCTCAAACACACCTCAGAGGGTTGTTGGGAAGATAAAACAGGATAACAATAATGATAATGAAAGTAGGCATTGCCCAGAGCCAATTAGGTGGGTCCTTCCCTCTGCATCACACAACTAACTGGCAGTTTTAAAAGTTTGCCAAGTTCAGGGAAAACTAGGAAGAATGTCCCCTTGTAGCACAGCATGCTGAAATAAACCACACCTTCCTTAAACATCTATTTATAGACACAAACATCAGACCAAAAGTAGTCATGCCTATTATTAGCAGAGGGCAATTATGTTAATGCTAATTTGCCTGTGTACTGTATGGAGCGGGATTCCTGTTTCCAAACCAACATGGAAATTTCCTTTCACAGAAACTGACATCATACACACAGGCTGTTTCAGTCCTGACGTTTCTTTCTAGGATAAAAGTCATGCATATGGTAAAAAGAAGAGTTTATTTCCATATTTTATTTATTACACTTATATACCACTCTGAGTGGTTCTGATGTCAAACACCTAACTGAGCACAATAAAGTTCACTCAGAAAATGCAAACATGAAAGGACAAGAATTTATTTTCTTCTAATTTATTTTGTATTGGTTTCATAACAAAACCTAAACAACAACTGCGAAGAAACAATAAACCAAACACAATGTTACAGCTTTCTTAGATAACTTTTCTAAGGGATTGTCTATAGCACTACATACTGTATACGTGCATTATCTATCCCTGTTTACTGCATATTTTATATATTGAAATTATGCTCTGTTATGTTTTTTGGTTTTGCAAGCCATCTTGAGAACTGTCTCAGACACAGACAGGATAAAAATGTTGAAAATAAATAAAGAAATTATTTGGTTGATTATGCATTAACTTAAAGCCAGCCCAAACATCCATATATTTGTTAATTTGTAAGTCACACCTAAATACTACCTGTTTGAAAACTGAAGGTTTCATTAAATCCTATAGTGATAGCTGTGGTATGATACCTATGCACAAATACATATGTATTTTAAAAGCCTGGCTTAGCAGGGAAAAAGTAATTTTTCAGTGTGTGTTGGGGGGCAGAGGTTCAGAAAAGGTAGGGTCCACCCCCTCTGCCTCCACTGTGCTGCAACAAGTTATTTTAAAAACTCTCTCTTGTTGCAAATCAAGACTGCTCTCAAAGCTTTCATGGTGGGAGGGCAGCAAAACTGATTTCTGATTGCAGGCAACGCAGGGAGCTGAAGATTGGATGGGGCCTCCCACAGCCCGTCTTAGGCCCGTCCCCGTTTTTGCTCCATGCATCTGACACCAGTTGAAATTCTGATGTCTGCATTTCAGATCAGCTGAAATATCCAAGCTGCTATCAAAGCCAGGCCCGGCTGATTACATAAATCCAGTCTAGAGGTTATCGTGGCTAGATTACGGGGGCCAGGTCAGCCATTCTGCTCCTCAGCTGCTGTGTTAGCAGGGAAAATTTACCCTGTTGGTAAATTTCAAATAGTTCACATTTAGTTAAATCTAAAGGGGTTCTCTTACAGCAGCCTTCTCCAACCTAGTGCCTTGAGATATGTTGGACTACAAGTACTATCATCCCCAGCCAGCCTGGCCACCATCTTGGTTGTGTAAGATTGGAGTTAGAGTCCAACACATCAGGAAGCACCAGCTGCCTTACACACACACACACACACACACACACACACACTTCCATAGTACATATATTTGGAACAAGGATGTGTATGCAGAGAAACTTTGGGTGAAGTACGAGAGGGAGCTAGAAGAGGGTTAATAGAAAGGTTTGCATGCATTTGAAAAATAGCTAGTTGTACAAATTCAAAGCCTTCCTTCCGCAAGTATTTTAGCAACAGTTCATCTGCTGAGTTCAGCCAACAATTTAGGGCAGAGAAGTCAAACTAACAAGCATGTATTTATTGTCTTCTGATAAGCAGTTTCTGCCCCACCCTTCAGCCCTAACCAAGGACTCCAAGGCACTTTACAAAACAGAGAACAGCATTATTGTGACGTTTCTCCCTTAGTCAGGAAGCAAGCCCTGAACAGCACAGTTCCTTTTAAATATGTGTAGTTTATAAAAGAGAACTGTAGGGTCTCAGATCCCAAACGGGGGGCATCCCCCAGACATTAAGATGGCTAAAGCTCTCTCCAACATGTCGGAATGTATGTGAGGCCTTTTGACATGCCGATGTGAAAATGATTGGGCTGAAAATTTCCCGGAGAATTCCTACTCAGAAATGGACGAGTCCTGTCCCCAGCATATATAATGTTTATTGGGCCAAACTTCCAGTAGAGCAAGGGGACAGATACTATCAGCAATTTTGGCTGGAGGCTGTCCAGAGGCAATGAAGGAAATGGGAAACAGGGTGAGGTTGCTTGTGAGGCACCCAATAGTATCTCGGAGGAGATCTTGTGCGCTTTCTGATATCTTCTGCAATCTTATATGTGCAATGTGTCACTTTCAAAGTCACTTTCCTTTGGAGGAGAGGGTATCATGACTTTTATTGCAGCTATTAAAAATATTTTTCTATATATATATATATATATATATATATATATATATAACTTCTATACAGCCCATTAGCCAAAGCTCTCTGGACAGTAAATAATCTTTATTTACACCCAAGCAGGTTTGTTGTGTGTTACACCCACACAGTGGTAACTACACAAACGAAGCCACTTCCAATGTACCATTCTTCAGGACCCAGTCTTAACTGGCTCAGGCAAAAATTTAAGCAAGCTGCTTTGATAATCACAAACATTTTGTTCAGTCTTCATACCCGATTTTGCAAGTTGGGCCTGACTTCCAGAAAAACTCTGACTGTTCGGGTAAAATCCAAGCTCCTGGCAATCAGAATAAGATTGGCAGTTTCCTGCTCAACCTGTAGTGCTGGAAGTCAAAGGAAGGCTGACTT